GGGGGGGGGGGCAACACTTAGTTGACCGGTGAGGCGAGGAGTCAAGGAAGACTTTGGCAGCCCAGAAACACTAGAAACTTCCTAAGCTCCTGGGATGGGCTGATATCCCCCAGATAACTGAGGGTCGCCCTGTACTATATCTACTGCTTTAGAGAGCAGGGTAGCTAGCCCTAAGGCCTGATCCACCAGCTACTGTGATTGGTGGGCCCCTTGGTGTGGGCCACGGTCCACATTGAAGGTTTCAGCTGCAATCCCACAAGGACCTAGGCCCTCTTCAGGCCCTCCTCCCTCATCCACCTCCAGCATCCCAACTATAGATGGAACCAGCCTCCAAGATACCCGCCCACACTCCATTGCCCCAGGAAGGGGTTTCACAATTTATCAAGACCTGAGTACAGGCACAGGCCCCTTACTGGATCCTGCCCCGCCCTCTATGTCCCTGAGACTGTGAGATGTTCTGTCATGCTCCACAATTGAGACAATATGTAGGAAGGCCATCTGGTGAATCCGTTCATTTCACAGATGGGGAAAACTGAGGCCCAGAGTGGGAACAGAACAGGCAGACTCCAATTTCTCAAGGGAAGCAGGCAGAAGAATGAGAGGAGTTGGGTGGAGGTAGGGGTCTCAGCTAAGGCTGAGGTTAGGGGCAGTGGGATCTGTGCAAAGAAAGCATGCCTAGGGAGGTGGGAGGCCCAGGGGAGAACCTGCACAGCTGGGGTCGCTGGCCCAAAGACGACAGAGCTGGGCGTAGCCTCCTTTCAATGCCCACAGGGTGCTAGAGGATACAGGAAGAGAAACCCCAGCTCACAAAACCTAGGCCAAAGCTAAGAGGCTTTGGTGCTGTCGTGTACTGGGTGGCCTCAGGAAAGGCTCCCTAGAAGGGCATAGCATGGGCCTCAGTAGGCAGATGGAGGGACAGGCATTCCATGCAGAAGGAACAGCCCTGCAAGGCAAGGTGTGAGGTTGCCAGGGCCTGTAAACAGTGGCTGTGAGGACTGTCATTATCTAGCAGTCTTCATCAGCAGATGTACCACTGGAGCGATGAAGAGGTGGTGGCACTCTGTGCCCCTACCCCTATCTGTTCCACACTTTACTTTGAGATGTTTGGAAATGAGTTCCTGCTGCCATTCTGAAGATTGACCAAATTCCTATGGGCCCTGAGGCAGCCACTGGGGTTTGAGGGACAGGCTGCCAGGTGGGCAGTGGAGCCCCAAGCTTTGGAGAAAATGGGGCCGGCCAGGGGGTGACTGGAGTGAGGTACTGGACCGGCTATTAGCTGCAGGGAACTTGGGAGCATGGTGGGTAAAGGTCAAGACTGTGGGTCCCTTTTTCCTTTCCAAGGAGCCACTGCCTTCCAGATACCTAGGCTGGCTACAGAGCCTGACACTTCCAGGTTCATGGTGGGCAGGGTACCAAGCTTCACTCCCGACTCCTGTGAGCCCCTCCAGCCTTCAGCACAGCAGGTGCCCAGCCTGCCCAAACTGCCTCCTTGGTCCTCAGAGGCTCCTAACTCTAGCTGTGGAGGCACCCACTGCTTACATATGGCAACAAGCAAAAACCCTAGCTGGGGATAGTGGGGGTGAATGTATGGCCAAGCTCTGGGAGGTGGCCAGCCCAGCAGTGCCACACCCAGGGAACCCAGGGTCAGTGTCCTCATCTGTGAAATGAGGGAGTTGGACTAGATACTCAGAGACCTGCACACCTGCTCCCTCATGACCATCACAGGTGGCACAGGCTGAGAGGTAAAGGTTAAGCTAAGGGCCAAGTGGAATGGGGCCTGAAGAAATGTGATAAAGGCCGGGGCTGAAGCATAGATAGAAGCCTAGTAAGTGGCAGGTGCTTAGATCCATGAGGGAGGCCCCAGCCTACAAGCTGGGCTGAGTGGGACCTCTGCTGCAGCTGGGGCCGTGCTCCCCACCCCAACAAAGAGATAGATGTGAGGCTCCATAGCCCTTTCATGGAGGACAGAATGAGCCTGAGGTAAGGGGGAAGAGAGCCCCTCACAGACCTTTGTGAAAGAGGAGCAACCCCCCAAAGATGGGGCATACCCTTCTTGACTCCGAGCTGATTCTCCCTTCTCACTGCTTTTCTGGAAGCAAATCCTTGCTACCCCAGGGCTGAGCTGACAGGTTGAGTGAGAAGAGCACCCGCCCAACACACACCAGGACCTGGACCGAGAAGCAGCAATCCTCAGGCATCTTGATTAGCAAGGTGGGCTTTCCCCTGAGAGCAGACTCTGCCAAGAATGCTGCCACAGACAGGAGAGGGTGGATCCACGTGGAAAGCACCAACTGACTGGGCGCAGCAGCCCTGGGTCTAGGCTGGGTCCCGGGAGCTTCTTGCTCATGCCTGCTGGATGTTCACAGTGACACCATACAGTTGACCCATGAGCAGGAGCAGTGGGTGCAGCATGGGCTGGGCCACTGGCGGCCATCCCAAGAAAGGAGCTTGTCACTGCCTGTGACTCAGAGGCAGGCCTGCTCCACACTCCCAACGTCAGAAGTAACAGGCTCCAAAGGCTTGGCCCAGGCTGCACCCCTTTTCCCTCGAATCCCTCAGCTTCCAAAACCAAATTCACTTAAATCTCATGGAATTAAAAAAAAAAATCATCCTTCATCTAAGATATTCTTGCCTAGATAGAGGCTGAGGAAGAGCAACAAGCCTCAAGGCCAGCAGGAGTCCAGAGGTGAGGCACCCCCCTTGCCAAGCTCCCAGGAATGGTGTTCCTTCCCCTGCCCAGAGGAGTCCCCTCTCTGTGCAAGAGCCGTAATTAACTTCTCCCACAGGGCAGACAGCGAAGGGTTGAGCTGGCCCTGGCTAGCACCATCTTCAGGCACATGAATGCCCAGTGCCAGTGGCTGGGCCTTGCTTGGCAACTGCTGCCAAGATACATGGAGACTCTCACACTGCAGGGTGGCTAGGCATTCTGGCCCAAGGCAACTGGCCTGGGCAAGCAGCACTCCCAGGCTGGCCCCTGTGGTCCAGGTCCAGGAGCTGAAACTGCCCACTGTCATCCCATTACCACCCCTACAGGTGATCTTGGGCCAGGAAACCCCAGTCATATTGGGCCTCGATACTGATTCCCCAAGTTTAACAATAGGATTTTCCAAGTCAAGAAACTGGGGCAACTGTCTAGCAGAGAATGAACAGGGTGGAGGGGAACGGCTTTCTCTCCTTAGGGTATCTTTTGCTCCTCTGGAAGATGGAGGAAAGTGGGGCTGAGAGAAAGGTCCAACCCCAGGCCAATCAGATTTGCATTCCAATTTGCATTCCAATGCTTCCCTTCCCCTCTTCCTTGCCAGCCCCAGCCCACGTGGTGGCCCTGCCCATGAGAATAGAAAAGACTCAACTGGAGCCACAGAGGGTCCTGGGAGGCACCCATTCGAGTTTGATTCCTGGATCTGTGGCCCCAGGCAGGCTGCCAACCAAGACTGGGCCTTCTGCTAGGAAGCAGAAGGGAAAGACTGGTCAGAAGGCACCAGGCATCTGATTCTGAGGGGCCACCTTTCTGCGCCTTGTTTCCCCAGTCACTGTCCCCCGCCCCGAACCAATTCCACAAGCCAAGGAAGTCCCAAGAAGCCGAGGGCTCCAAACCGTTTATTTCTCCCGACCCGGAGGTGGGGGTCGCTGTGATCAAGGCGGGAAAATACTTCGGGCGGTAGGGTCTGGTGCCAATGGGTTCGGGGCGGAGTGGCCCTCAGGCGAAGGTGGAGCTGTTCCAGCCCACGTTGGCCGGGTTCATGTCGTAGTAGTTGATGTAGATCCTGCGGGGGGTGAAAGCCGTGCTGAGTGGGCTGCACAGTCGCGGGCCGAGCGCTGCCCGCCAGGCGCCCCCCGCCCCCCGGCACTCCCCCGCACCTGTCGGGGCTGATGCGCAGGCGGTCGGCCAGCAGGCCGCACAGCAGCTTGCTGTAGGAGCGGTTCTGCGGGCCGCCGATCTTGCCGATGCTGTGAAGGCTACAGAGCGCGCAGGGATCGCTTGAGCCACCGAAAGCCATGAGCTGGTCCGGAACCACGTGCACCGCGATATACTGCGGGGGATGGGACACGATCAGAGGACCCGAGCGAACTCTCGCCCCGGGCGCCCCCCGCCCCTTCCCCGACCGGGGTCGCCAACCCCCGCCCC